ATCACGCGAATGTCACAGGAATATCACCGTAGAATGTCCCCATGAAGCGGACATTATGATATTGCCTGAATGTAACAGGAATGTTCCCACTTGATATCACCGTGACATTCAACCAATATTCCGTGCTACTTGGGGATGTAATCAACTTCTAAACTCTCTACCCCACTGAAAATTCCCACATAGGCTCCCATATGGGAAACCACATGGGTCCCTATATAGGAAGCCATATGGTTTCCTATACAAAATCGTATACGTAATTGGAACAGAAATTTGAATAGGAAATTAAGTAGGAATTATCATATGAATTCGCATCCACACAGGAATGTACATTCCTATGTATATTCCTATTTCAATTCCTATAATATAAATTTTTTTAAACTCTAAGATATATATCTTTCAATAGTAGAGGTTCCTGATAGACTACAGAGATGAAAAAAATTTATTGCGCAGCCGAAAAAGTAGAACAAAACTACTGCGCATGATATAAAGATATAATGTGTATAATTAAGATATAATATGATAATTCCTACTTAATTTCGTATTCAAATTCCTGTTCCAATTACGTATACGATTTTGTATAGGAAACCATATGGCTTCCTATATAGGAGCCTATGTGGGGATTTTCAGTACCCAGTAAAAAAGGATTTTTTGAGATAGCAGTTCGGACAATTGAGCAAGCCGTTTGCTCAATTGTCTAAAATGCATTCGGACAATTGGAGTGTTTGTTCAATTGTCCAATGCATTATGCCCAATCATCCGCAATATTTCTTGTGTCTAAAAAGCTGCTAAAATAATATGAAAAACTATTGAAACATTGAAAAAACGGTAGAAAATGCATAATTTTTGATATATACAGAAAAAGAAAGTATAAAAACACCTCGATAAAGGAAGGGAAACAGTTTTCCAAAAATCACTTTTTAACTGACAGTATACTGCTGTACTTGACATTTTATGGGTAAAGAAGAGAAGGTTATGATAATGAGTGTCACTTCATTATCGACTCTCAATATTTGTCGAATGGTAAAATATAATAGTAGATTTCTTTCTGATTTTTTAAAAAAGGAATAATTAAGCAAATTAAAAGTTATTGTCAGTGCTGTGAAATTAAAAAATTTCAAAAAACGTCAATAGTCCTATAAGTTTTAAATCGGTGTAATAAAATTTGTAAAAATTACTTTTTAGTATTATTATCTATTTATTAATAATTACTTTTAATTATTTATGATTGTTATTTAATTATATTACAGTGAAAAAAAGTGTATATATAGTGTAGTGTAATAAGGAAATTTGAAAATTGGTAAGTATAAAAAATAATAGACTTTATTTATTTTATAAATTAGTTGGAAAATATATTAATATAATATAATTAATGTAGTAATTTACAGTAATTTTAATTGAAATAATTATAATAAAAAACATATATATTAATTAAACAACCTATATTTATAACTTTTTCAATTGAATTTATTGAATAAACCTTATTACACTACACTATATATACACATTTTTTCACTGTAATATAATTACATAACAATCATCTTCTATTATATTAAGTTAACAAATTTCGAAAAACGACACCGACCCCGTGACCTCGACACCGTCCTTGAAAAATCTATTTTCAATTATTTTCAAATAAATCAAAATACTTTGCATACATGCTTTTAGAAAATCTTACAAACTATTTTTATGTAACATCTTTTTTCAATTTTAAGATAAATTTTATACAATATTAATAAGATATCAATTTAAAACATAAATTATATATATAATATACATAAACTACAATAAGTAAACAACAATAAGTACAATTTTAACCGAGCGAGCGTTAGCGAGCGAGGAATACATCGCTAGTAAATAATTAAAAGTAATTATTAATAAATAGATAATAATACTAAAAACTAATTTTTACAAATTTTATTACACCGATTTAAAACTTATAGGACTATTGACGTTTTTTTGAAATTTTTTAATTTCACAGCACTGACAATAACTTTTAATTTGCTTAATTATTCCTTTTTTAAAAAATCAGAAAGAAATCTACTATTATATTTTACCATTCGACAAATATTGAGAGTCGATAATGAAGTGTCACTCATTATCATAACCTTCTCTTCTTTACCCATAAAATGTCAAGTACAGCAGTATACTGTCAGTTAAAAAGTGATTTTTGGAAAACTGTTTCCCTTCCTTTATCGAGGTGTTTTTATACTTTCTTTTTCTGTATATATCAAAAATTATGCATTTTCTACCGTTTTTTCAATGTTTCAATAGTTTTTCATATTATTTTAGCAGCTTTTTAGACACAAGAAATATTGCGGATGATTGGGCATAATGCATTGGACAATTGAACAAACACTCCAATTGTCCGAATGCATTTTAGACAATTGAGCAAACGGCTTGCTCAATTGTACGAACTGCTATCTCAAAAAATCCTTTTTTACTGGGTAGGGTATTCGCATTAATTCAGTAAATAAACTTTTGAGCTTTAATTTTTTTCAAATTCAATAGACGAGTTGGTCATTTTATTTGAATTCTCAAACGATGAAAACTCATTGGTACGAATTGAACAACGGGCTTCACTGAATCTTGCTTAGTGACAAATACGAATTGAACCTTGTGAAAAAAGTTAATTAATTTCAATTCATTTGAATTAGTTTCTTTTTACTGGGAGGACTTTTAGGTCGCGCATCTCCAGTGTGACCTGTCGATCCACGGTCTGCACCTTTCCCATGCTTCCAACCGTTTTGGAGACCTCAGCGGTGAATTCCTCCTTATTGGAATCTCCTCCGATTTTAATCAAGAGATCTCCCCTTTTAGTATAGACCTTGCGCTCACAACCTGCGTGTGGCTGACGTCCGGATTCACTTCCCTCCGAAGTTTTCTCAGTACGTCTGCATACGTTGTTCCTGTTGTGACTCGGATCACCAGTGTAAATCTTCTTACAGGTTTGCTTAGGATTCGGTGTTACGGTCACCTTCGCAATCTGTTTGACAAGAAGTGCCTTCTCTTGCTTTTTCTTCTTCGCCTTGGCGTCAGTCCTCTTCAGGTTGACAGAGTTTTTTCTTGGTTTCTGTGCCTCTACGACTGCGCGCCGAAGCAGTTTTTCATGGATATGTTCTCTTTTCCTGTTTCGTTCTTCTCGGTTTACCTCCGCATTGCCTATAGTGCCACCAATGGTGCGATTTCTTTGATCCTCTAAAGACACTTAGACACTCAGTTGTCTAGATCAGACTTCTTCCGCTGGTGACACTCGAAACGCTTGAAGTGCTTCTTCTTCTTCTACTTTCAAATCTTCCCAAACGGATCTGGAGAACCTTAAGAAACTGGGTACCCCCAGGGTCCATCCTCCTTGTTGTATTGAATGCTGCAGCCCCCTAGGTATCCAATACTGCAGCACTATTGTCACTGGATTTTAACGGACCTTATTTAATCCTTTGCTTTCCATATATATTTTTCTCCTTACCTTACATCTTGGTTTTTGGGTGTCCTTTAGTGAAAAGCCCCACCACCACGACAAGGTCTACCAAAAATTGACAAGACTCTTGATAGCGGACAACCATCGGCAGGATAAAGAAATTTTTGTATATTAATTAATACTTCAGTTTCATGGGCAGGACAGAAAAATGCCATTTTAAATTTAATCACCCATATATGAGGCATTTCATATGAGAACGACATATGATGTCTCAGATTTTCCTTAACTTTTGGGTTTTGAGAGACATTTTGGTGTTAAATAAGTATGCAAAATTTGAATTAAATTTTTTAAATATTTTTAGAGATATTTGCATTAAAAAATTGTTATAACATTTTTTTCTTTTTCTTATAACTTTTGTTCTTTTGATCCTACAAAAAAAATTTCTAAATGTTTTTTACTCTAAAAATGTTAAAACTTATGAAAAAAATTATTGCAATAAAAAATTATTAAATTTTAATTAATTTATTTAAAAAATAAAATTTAATTTTACGTTTTAAACATGTTCTCCCTGTTTCTCAACCCTGAAAAAAATCATGAATGAAGTTGATAATGTAATAAAGACTTCCTGAAATTTTAAGCTTGGCGTTATTTTTTGTTTTCGAGATAAAAATCTTTAAATATTGAAATGCATGGGTTAAGCGCGCAAAACGATCGTTGTAAGAGAGGCCCATTATTTAGCGCGCTGGCGCGAGGATCACATGCGGTGCGAGTTCTCAATGGGCCCCTGTACAATGATTATTTTGCGCGTTTAACGCATGCATTTCAATGTTTAAAGATTTTTATCTCGAAAACAAAAAATAACGCCAAGCTTAAAATTTCAGGAAGTCTTTATTACATTATCAACTTCATTCATGATTTTTTTCAGGGTTTGAGAAACAGGGAGAACATGTTTAAAACGTAAAATTAAATTTTATTTTTTAAATAAATTAATTAAAATTTAATAATTTTTTATTGCAATAATTTTTTTCATAAGTTTTAACATTTTTAGAGTAAAAAACATTCAGAACTTTTTTTTGTAGGATCAAAAGAACAAAAGTTATAAGAAAAAGAAAAAAATGTTATAACAATTTTTTAATGCAAATATCTCTAAAAATATTTAAAAAATTTAATTCAAATTTTGCATACTTATTTAACACCAAAATGTCTCTCAAAACCCAAAAGTTAAGGAAAATCTGAGACATCATATGTCGTTCTCATATGAAATGCCTCATATACATCTAATCTCCAATTACGTATATGCCATATAAGAAACACAGCTTTTCGTCTATTATATTTATAAACGAGAATTATTATTGTTTTAAATTCACTACCATGTAAAGAGTCGTAACTATTATCGTATTTACGGTAGTATTTAAACTCATTCTTTTTCAGTAGGATTTGTTAAAATGTCCTTTGACCTGTTCATAATAATATCAATTATAATTATTGAAATTTTTTATTACAATATTTGTTTAAAAATACAATTATTTTTAAAGATAAACAATATTATTATTATTATTATTCATAAGTAAATGTTTCAACAAAATTAAATTGCATTTTCTTTAATCCAGTTCAGAAATTTTGACACTCTTGTATAAATTGAGGGAAAGTGGATGTTTGCACAACCACGATTCACCCAGGATGCAATTCCCACTAGAACACCATTAACAGTCAACGGTCCACCAGAGTCACCCTAAAATAATTGTTTTATTTATAGTTTCTTTACTTTTTATGAGAGAATGGGTACCAATAAACCAAGATTTAAGACTAAAATTATTTTTAACTGGGTATCGATTATTTTGTTTAGCTATAATGTAAAATTTGATTTTACGAAACCGTTTTTGGGACGTCAAAAAATACACGGGCCGTCACCGCAATTAATAAGCAATTAATAATACGTTTTCTTTTTAAAATGTTTATTTGATCAAATTTTTAAAAATTCGAAAAGTTTATTTGATTAATTTAAAATATTGTCACGTCATCGTAACTTTAATATTCATATTATAATAATTCTTAAATCTATACCGAGTTGCGTTTTTCTTGCGACAAACACCCGTGTTTTTGTTACGCATCTAAATACTTTTCTCTTAAATGTTAAATTTCCGCCTTTTGTCGCGCAACTAAACATCTTTCTTTTATATATAAAAGACTCCTGCGTTTTGTATCCTTCTACGTCTATATACTGTATTTGTTTTATACATACATACAAATATAAATACAAATACAAATACATACAAATAGAAGCGAGAAATCTTTTATGACACTAGAAGAGCCCCACGAAACAAAATGCTCTCTTTCTAATTTTCCCTATGTGCTAAAATTAGACGATGTAATAAATGCTCTCTTTCTAATTTTCTCTTTCTAATGTGACGAACCCCTGTGGTATCACCACATTAGAAGAGCACAAACACTCTTCTACAGCTGCGAATATCCGTAATCGTACTCTTTCTATCCTGTATTAGAATGGTTTACACCCCTCCTTTTAACGTTCAACTGAGAGAGAAGGACTCAACTTTGGCTTCCAAAATTAGGGTGAAAAATATATAGTACGACAATTAAATTTTATCTATTCTCTTATGAATATTCAGTATAAAAGGACTACATTTTCACGGAGAGACCAGTTCTGAAATCCTCTTCATCGTATTACATCAAGCTCATTTTTGGTACCAGTCGACGTCTTCTAGTTCAAGTGCATAATTCTCTTATACGAAAGTTAAAATCAAGTGTCAAAACCCTCTACATTAAACGAGGATCTTTACTTCTCATTATATTGGTCAATTATCCATTCTTCCATTATTTGGAAGAGACTCATTATTGGTAGTTTTATCACGCCTAATAGAACTTCGGACCTGCGGTTATACCTGGGCCCGTCAACCTACCTGACATCATAAACTCACGCTGGTACCAGCTCTTTTCCTGTGACAACAAAGGACACAGCTGTGGTCCTTTTTCTTTCAACACATCTACTACTGAATTTTAAGGTAAGTGTTTTATATTCTCACTCCTAACTTTTCTAAACTTGTCGTTTATTTGTAGTAACCCTTGCATTCCTTATTTCAGTTGAATGCTGAACTATATTTCCTGGATTGGTTGGTTCGAGATTCCCTCTCTCTCATAAGAACGAATTGTTGTAACTAAAAATACTTGTCTAAATAAATTGTAACCTAATTATAGAATTAATCACTATTCTTTTTCTTTCCCGTACCCTTAGTTCAGAGCCTTCTGCTCTGTAAATGAAACAGCCCTATTGAAAATCCCCACATGGGAAACCACATGGGAAACCAAATGGGATCCTATGTCAAAAACTATGTAAAACCCCATTCCCCATATAAGGAACCATATGGTTTCCCATATAAAAACTCATGGGAAATTGGGACAGGAATTGGCATAGGAAAATATCAAAACGAGGTTCCTCCATGTCATTTCCTATGTCAAATCCCATGTCAAATATCATGTTAAATACCATGTTAAATACTAATTGAGATCCTTTATCACTTTTTTGAAAAATTTTCCTATGTCAAACCCCATGTCATTTCCCAAGTAAAAACCTTTATCATTTTTTTGAAAAATTTTCCTATGTCAAACCCCATGTCATTTCCCAAGTAAAAACCTTTATCATTTTTTTGAAAAATTTTCCCATGTCATTTCCCATGTGAAATCTTTTATCATTTTTTTGAAAAATTTTCCCATGTCAAATCCTCTTTCGCCTTATCGAAAATACCCACATAGGAAAGCATATGGGAATCCACATGGGAAATGGAATACGATTTCATGTGCAATCTTCCAAATGATAAAACAAATAGATTTAAGCATAGTAAAACATCTAAGATTTCATATAGATTCTGAAATTTCAACCTAAGATTTCACATGGATTTACATATAGGAAACGATATAGGATTTTATTCGGGAACTTTTTAGTTGGCTGCTTTATGCAGGCGGCAGTTTACAAAAAAAATTAATTATTTGATTAAATATCAAATAATAATACTTCAACTCATCTGAAAATAAAAAAAAGTTTACTTTACTTCTGCCTTAGACTCTCAGCTTTTATAGTATTCCAGACTGATCTCAACTGTGAGAGAAAATATTTTCACCATCTGGTGGCGAAACAATGAAACTATAATGACGATCAACATCTATATTGAAATTTCCTATGTCATTTCCCATGTGAAATCCTCTTTCATTTATTCGAAAAATTTTCCCATGTCATTTCCCATGTGAAATCTTATCATTTTTTTCAAAAATTTTCCCATGTCAATTCCCATGTCAAACCCCATGTCATTTCCCATGTGAAATCTTTTATTATTTTTTGGAAAAATTTTCCCATATCAATTCCCACGTCAAACCTCATGTCATTTGCCATATGAAATCCTTCATCATTTTTTTGACAAATTTTCCAATGACAAATCCTCTTTCGCCCTATCGAAAATACCCACATGGGAAAGCATATGGGAATCCACAGAGGAAATGGAATACGATAAAGGATTTCACATGGCAAATGACGTGAGGTTTGACGTGGGAATTGATATGGGAAAAATTTTCCAAAAAATAATAAAAGATTTCACATGGGAAATGACATGGGGTTTGACATGGGAAAATTTTTTGAAAAAAATGATAAGATTTCACATGGGAAATGACATGGGAAAATTTTTCGAATAAATGAAAGAGGATTTCACATGGGAAATGACATAGGAAATTTCAATATAGATGTTGATCGTCATTATAGTTTCATTGTTTCACCACCAGATGGTGAAAATATTTTCTCTCACAGTTGAGATCAGTCTGAAATACTATAAAAGCTGAGAGTCTAAGGCAGAAGTAAAGTAAACTTTTTTTTATTTTCAGATGAGTTGAAGTATTATTATTTGATATTTAATCAAATAATTAATTTTTTTTGTAAACTGCCGCCTGCATAAAGCAGCCAACTAAAAAATTCCCAAATAAAATCCTACATCGTTTCCTATATGTAAATCCATGTGAAATCTTAGGTTGAAATTTCAGAATCTATATGAAATCTTAGATGTTTTACTATGCTTAAGTCTATTTGTTTTATCATTTGGAAGATTGCACATGAAATTGTATTCCATTTCCCATGTGGATTCCCATATGGTGTCCCATGTGGATTCCCATATGCTTTCCTATGTGGGTATTTTCGATAAGGCGAAAGAGGATTTGACATGGGAAAATTTTTCAAAAAAATGATAAAAGATTTCACATGGGAAATGACATGGGAAAATTTTTCAAAAAAATGATAAAGGTTTTTACTTGGGAAATGACATGGGGTTTGACATGGGAAAATTTTTCAAAAAAATGATAAAGGTTTTTACTTGGGAAATGACATGGGGTTTGACATGGGAAAATTTTTCAAAAAAGTGATAAAGGATCTCAATTGTATTTAACATGGTATTTAACATGATATTTGACATGGGATTTGACATAGGAAATGACATGGAGGAACCTCGTTTTGATATTTTCCTATGCCAATTCCTGTCCCAATTTCCCATGAGTTTTTATATGGGAAAACATATGGTTTCTCATATGGGGAATGGGGTTTTACATAATTTTTGACATAGGATCCCATTTGGTTTCCCATGTGGTTTCCCATGTGGGGATTTTCAATAGGGAGGAATTCACTGAATCACCGAGCGGCCATAAATAAAATAAAATATTATTTCGTTAGTTATTTCTCTATTTGGGACGTAACAATATCAACATTTATTTGTTCGTCGAACTTTTCGAAAATTAATCAAATAAACTTTTCGAACTTTTAAAAATTAAATCAAATGAATAATTTAATTTTTAAGAATTTAATGAAATGTTAATTTAAAGTTTTGGAAAATCCAATCAAATGGTTATTTCAATTTTTGAAAACTCGATGTAATGGATATTCGACACAGTTCCGTCTACAGTGCTATGAATTGATTACACACCACACCCTCCCCTAAATCAAAAATTAATTTTTATGTTTAAGTATACATACTCTGCAAAATCCTTTTTCCATTTTCGATTCATAAGTACAAATTTGTGTATCATAAATATTGTTCCATTGTTTGTACTTTTCGTTACATAATGTTTGATTGGCTATAAAAATGGTAACTAGTTGCAAATACGAGTGAGAAAAAGAACCTCCTATCTGTAAGAAATATTTTGTGAAGATTGCACTTAAAGATTTATAAATGTTCAGTAAACTTTTTGATTATGTGTGGAGGAAAGTACACGGAGAAAATTTAGTTTAGCCCTAACAGCATCCAGATATTTAGAATATCCTACGGACATCCTAGAGATATCCGGAAATTAGGATACAAACAACATTTTAGAATTTTATAAATTACAGGAATATTCTCTCAATATCAGACAAATTTCAAGGGAATATTCCCTCAGTATCATACGAATGTCACGCGAATATTACAGGAATATCACCGTGGAATATCCCCGTGAAGCGGACATTATGATATCGCCTGAATGTCATAGGAATATTCCCACTTGGTATCATCTTGACATTCAAGCAATATTTCGTGCTACTTGGGGATGTAATCAACTTCCAAACTCTCTATTCGCATTAATTCAGTAAATAAACTTTTGAGCTTTAATTTTTTTCAAATTGAATAGACGAGTTGGCTTTTTTGTAAATATAATTATTAAAATGTCAAATTTTCCAACCTAAAGTTTTTCCGTGTGCATTAATTGCATTAAATAGTAAATGGAATGAAATTTGTATATTTTTATGCAAAAATGTACCCGAATTTTGCCCCATCCAGAAACAATAGCTTCTTCATTTTCCCTAAAAACCATGTTTGATTTTGGATGAACAACACTTTTAATTTCATTGTTCATTGTAAAATTTGGTGTTACCTAAATTATAAAAAAGACATTAAAAAATTATACCTTTAGTTAAAAAGAAAATTATAAATAATTTTACTTTGATTAGAGCAATGTCATTTTTCCAAGAATCTGATCCATTATATTCATTGTGAATTATTATTTCGTCGACGAAATAAGTGGCCTTTGGTTGATTAAGATTTAATGTTCCAGCTACTATTTTCAATTCAAACGGTAAGCGGCTGAAAAAATCTCAGTAAATATTACATTATTATAGAAATTATTTCATTGACGAGAAAAAATTATATTTTACCTCTCCACACAATGAGCAGCTGTTAATACGTAATTTTCGTTAAAAATAGATCCACCGCAAATATGAATGTTATTCTTAATTACTTGAAGTGACACCTTAATAAGAATATTATTCATTAAAACTCCCGATCAAAATGTAATAAAATTATTCCTCTATTAAATTAAATTCAAATTACTTATGATTAAAATATTAGTTTTTGTGTAAATTTCAGGAAAATAGTTTTGTATTTAATAAAAATTCATTAATAAAATAAAAATGTTATTAAAAATACTTGGTACGGTAATTCGCCAGGTAAAGCATTTCTTCCATTGATGATCCTTGGACTTAATGAATTATTTTTTAGGATTCCCCCTAATAAACAATTTTTGTGTGTTTATTTATTTATAAAAAAATATATATTTGGGTGATCCAGGAATCGATAAAGAATTTAATTACAAACATTATATTAAAAACATATTCAGATCTATAGAGTTATTGTATCAAAAAAGTTAATTCTGTCGCAAGGAACTATCTGTTAGTAATAATTTTATTTTTGAGATAAATAATAATTTAAGTTATTCTCACCATTAGATGAAGCTAATAAGAGACCAACTGTAAAATAGGTATAAAGTGCCATTTTGACTAATTGCAAACGAAAAACTGTCGAAATTATTTTTGAAAAAAGTCTCTTACAATAATAAATGATAAAGATTTAATTGATTTTGATCTTCAGCAGAATTCAATATTATTTAAAATCAGTGAAAGAATCTTTTTTATCAATTTTTAGAAAAACATTTAGATATTTCTACTTTTTTGTTTTGTTTAAATAAAACGTAAAAAAAATTTTTTTAGAATAAATCTATTAAAACTTTATATTTACTTTTGTTTATATTATAAATAAAGAAACTTACTCATAATGTAGTTTAAAATTAATTGAAATAATCATAAGATTATTTCAAATTAATCAAAATAGATGTGAAAGATTATACACGTAAATCTTGATCTGACTTAATGTTAAACGATAATAATATCATTGATAGAATACAATCATTGAATTAAATAAAATTGTGTAGTAAAGAATGTTTGTAATTAATTAAGGATTTTTGAGTTAAAATATTTTTTTAAAGATATTTTACAAAAATGAAACTAGTGGTGAATAATACGAGACGAGTACAGTTAATATACAATATCGGAAAATGTGCAGTTGAGAGTCACATAAAGGGTGTGAAGCATTTGAGAAAATTAAATGAAAAGAAAGTAGTTATGGAATTCATCTCTTCAGTATTTCCCAGAATTAGGTAAATTCATTGGTACCGATATCTGAATCAATAGAAAATGAACAACCCGGCTGAAAAAACTTGTACAAGAAAATGTACAAGTTGTACAAAGTAATGTTCTTAAACATGTTCAGCATCCGGAATTGAGACATGTTCTTCTACATATTTTTTGTCCAGGTTTCATGTACATTTTGTTGTACCAGATGTACTTATTAAAATTTCAAATTTTTTTCAAAAACTTTTTTAAACCAATGTTCTTGTACAAGAACATAAATGTGTTCATGTAAAAGTACTTGTACATAAAACCTGCACAAAAAATATGTACAAGAACATGTACATTTTCTTTTACAAGTATATTTTCTTATCCAGGATCTTGTACAAGTTCTGGTACAAGAATATGTCTCAATTCCGGATGCTGAACTTGTTCAAGAACATTACTTGAACATGTACAAGCTCTTTACCTGAATCTAATGAAATACATGGATTGAATAAATATTTAATTAAAGAAGAGGTAATGCATCAATGCAAAGTTATGGCAACTCGGTATAGCTTTAAGAATTTTTATAATATGAATATTAAAGTTACGGTGATGTGACAATAGATAGATAGAGAGATATTTACACCGATACTTACAAGGGTAATCAATAATAATTAGACAAAAGGTCTACAGTTGACGAAAATTAATTACTAACACGTATGAAATTATTCACAATGCTGCCGTCCTAATGAAGAAAGTCGGTATTCGCGATACTGCCCATCGGCATTAGGATTTCAAGAAAGTACGTAAATATGTCATCATTTTGAAACAGTAAGAAAATTAACGATTATTTTGTCTGCAAGTACCGACTCTGTGAGAATGATTTCGCCAAAGTAGGGTAATTAAAGGCTAATTATCTCCAAAATTGATTAATATTGTTAAGTAATATTACTACAGCTTTTTTCATAATGAATCCAGTGATATGAAAAACTCATTTTTGATAAAAATGTCGATTACCGACTATCTTCATCAGGACGGCAGAATGGTCATAAACACTTATTTGTTTATTACCTATTCCTGCAAAGTCCCTTCTTCCTATAGTTCCCCTTTTGATTGTTGTAGGTAATAGACGAAGAATATATAAGATGTAATAATTTTTATGTAAAAAATGACTTTATTCAAGAAATTGTTGTATAATATTATTCACTATTTGTATATACAGCCGATTTTTTTTTTGTCAAAGTAAACGAATGTGAGAAGCATTAATGTAGAATTTCATATTTAGCTCTTATCTTTAATTGCATTGCTAAAAAAATATTCGCGAAAAGAAGCTTTTATTCTTTTGACACTGCAATAGTAGAAAAGAATGGTCAGTTAGAGATAATAAGAGACGACACTCCAAGCAATGCAATTTATATTGTTATACAAAATTCAGCAAAGATATGATTTAGCATTGTATGTGTGAAACCTTTTGTCATAGTAAATTCTTAATATGGTCTGTTTTCTTTTTATATTAATTATTGTTTTTGTCATATCCTTGAAAACATGTATATTAAAATAGATTATACAGTAAAGTGATATTTTTTTCTTCCATCATAATTATTATATTTTTTTTCCCCACTTTCGTTTACATTTTAATACTAGTTCGTGTGCCGGTAAGTGAAAAACATGCCACGACGCTATCAACAACACAACCTTATTGCAAAACAAAAGTATCAAAAACAAGCGACATAAATATTCATATTATTCTACATAATAATCAAATGCAAAAAAATCTCGGGGATATTTTCTTCGTTTACTATAAATAAATTATCAGCGTACACTTTCAATGTAGTGCGGACTCTTTAAAAAAAATCACCTTTTTTAACGAATTTCAATTAAAACAATCGGAAATTTTAATTATCAAAAATATTAAGAGTTAAAATAATAAATTATAAATATTTAAAATGAACGAAACAATCGAATGATTAAATCAGTTTAATATTCAAATGTTTAAATAATTGAATTTTAAAAATAATCTCAAGTTTCAATAAAAGAATGAGTAGATGAAAAATAAACAATCTTTCTTACAGTTTAAAATCTAATTTTTTTTGAAAAAATATCGCTTTATTTCATGAGTCAAAAAATTGGTTAGTAAGTGGTGCAACAATTATTGTCCACTGCGGATAACACTGAAAATGATAAATAAATAATTTGTTTTGGATTTAAGTACCACACTAGTTGTAGATGTTTCCGCATAAAATGAATTAAAAAAAACACTTAGGCAATCTTTTTTAACTCGTCGAGACATGGTACGTTAATCATCATCTTTTTTTTGCACTGACCCTCAGTTTAATAATTTAAAGAGCGACACGACGATTATTTCGGTCTAGTTAGACTATTAAATTATGCTCAATCTTTTCACGGGATTTGAAATCGCGTGAAGATGATTCGATATACAGCTGTGACTCAAAAAAGATAAGTTGTGCTAGTTTTCAACACTCGGACGATGAATTTAAATCGGCCGGTGGAATTTTTTTGGTTCGAGTGATGCGATCCAATTCCGCAGCTGCATCGTTTCGCATTGTTGTTTTGTCCACGGCAACTCCATCTAAAATTTAAAACAGAGGATAGTTAGAACTAATTTTATTTTTTTAATATATTTATTTAATATTACTTTATAATTCGGGTTATTTTCCTGAGTGTTGGAAGTTGGGTATAATTTCCCCTGTTTATCAGGATGGTGATAAATCTAATGTCCAAAACTACAGACCGATAATAATTCTCAGTGCAATACCTAAGCTTTTTGAAAGTTTAATTTATGATCAAATTTACTCGGCATTTAAGAATGTCTTGATTGAAGAGCACCTTGGGTTCAGAAAGAAACGATCTACATCGACAAACTTATGTATTTTTACTCAGTACTTAGCGTCCTCATTAGATAGTGAATTACAGGTGGATACGATCTACACCGATTTTTTAAAAGCGTTTGATAAAGTCGATCATGGCATTTTGTTGTATAAACTTGGCTATGGCGTTTCTGACACTACTTTGAAGTGGCTCTTCGTGTTCTTAGAGTATTATTTTTATCACTTGTGAGACCCCATATAGAATGTTTATCAGTTATCTATTATCCTTAATACATTTATCAACAAGATAGTTTAGAAAAAATACAAAATTCATTCTTAAGATTTGTCGCAAGACAACTAGATATAACATTTGATTATTTTAGTCACGATTATGCAGAGCTGCGTTTGATTACAAAAATTCCAACTGTTAGCTAGTAGTAGATTTCTGAAGTTGGACCTTCAATTTCTTCTTATGATATTTAGTAAAAGTTACTTTATTCGTTTTTTCATTTTTCTCTGTGTATTGAATTTAGAAGTTTTTGTCAAGAAAAAAAAGTTGTAGATTTTCATAAATTTTTAAAAAATCATATTTTAAAAAATTCGTAAATCGAACATTTGGGCTCATATAAAAAAATATGTATATGAATTATTTCTGCAAATAAAGAAAAAAAATGTATCAGAATTTAAAATGTACCTAAGATGGACGATAGAGGCTCGTACGAAGGGAGCAAACAGGTCCATGCTGTAAAGGCTCGTTTTTTTCTCTGTGTATAAACATCAAAATAGTTTAAATTTATTAGCTGTGTGTGACTCGAATTATAAATTTATTATGGTAGACGTGGGAGGAAGAGGTAGAGAAAGTGATTCAGATGATGAATTTCCTGATCTTTCTCATAATGAGTATTCATCTTCTAGTGATAATGCAGACAGCGAAGAAGACGATGTTGAATATGATGTAAATAACTGGACTGAGAATGTAAGAAACTTTACCAGGGAGCTCAATTTTGAGCAAGAACCAAAAACTGCAGTTGAAAGAGATAAAAACTATAAAGAAATAGACTTTTTTTAAACCTTTTCTTTGATAAAAGCATTCTCGAAAACATTGTCCAGCAGAGCAATTTGTATCGAAGTCAAAAACAGGGGAATTCACATTATGATTTGACCGTTCCAGAGCTTCAAGCTTGGATGGGAATGATATTATTGATGGGGATACATCGATTGCCACAGATAAAAAGTTACTGGTCTAAAGACGCTGCGATCAGAGTCGAATTTATAGCAAATATTATGACACGAGACTGATTTCATAAAATTAGTGCAATACTTCATGTCAATGACAATAATAATAATCTTCTAAAAAGTCATCTAGATTACGATAAAATTTTCAAACTTCGTCCTCTCATTGGCCATCTAAATAAAAAAACAAAGGAAGTTTACACTCCTTCAAAAACTTTATCAGTAGATGAATCAATGATAAAGTTTAAAGGAAGATCAAGTTTCAAGCAATATTTGCCATCAAAGCCAATCAAAAGAGGCTTCAAAGTGTGGTGTTTGGTTAATTCCAAAACTTCATATATTGTAAATTTTGAAATTTACACTGGACACTTATAAGTGGTGGCACAGAATTTTTTACTTTTTAGTTGACTTGGCTGTAGTGAATGCATACATTCTCTACAAAATTGCAAAGAAGAGTGATATTGATCAGTTGAATTTTCGAATTAATTTAGCGAAGCAACTTACTGCGAAGTTTTCAGAAAATAGAAACAAAAAAAACGGCCAATATCTCATCTTCGAGCCAAAAGAGGAAAAGCTTTGATTCCAGTTCAGAAGACGTTGGAAATCATATGCCAGACGTTGTTAAAAATCGTCGACGTTGCGTCCTCTGTAGCACAAAATCGTCAGAAAAACGAACAAATGTCATTTGCGTGGAATGTGATGTCCCATTATGCGTCAAAGAGTGTTTTCGAAAATATCATGGGAAGTAAACCATGAGAAGAAAAAAAGGAGACTTTTCAGTTATGTTGATAAATATATGGGGTTCATGATCAGTTTTTTTATAGGGCTATAGGCGAAGATTCACTTTACCAAAAAAAATCCAACGCACTTTCAGCGGAACCTCAAGGGTCGTGTGGAAGACCGTAACAAATTTCAGACGTATCAGAACGATTTTAAAAAATTCGTCCACCATATTGGCTCCATCTTTGAATTTTTAGAAATTTCAAAAATCTGACTTCAGATTCGTAATTAGTAACCCCAAAAATCCTCGAGAATCGAGTTTGAAACAAATTGGGTCAATTTTTTAAATTTTATCCGCCATGTTGAATTCGCCATTTTGAATTATGAAAATTTTAAAAATCTGCCTTCAGATTCGTAATCAGCGATCCCGAAAACCTCCAAGTAACAAATTTCAGGCGAATCTAACAATTTCAAAAATTTGTCCGCCATTTTGAATTTTTGAAAACTAACACCGGATTCGTAATCAGCGACCCCAAAAACCCCCGAGTAGCCATTTTCGAGCGAATTGCATTAGATTTTCCAAAAGTCGTCCGCCATATTGGATCCGCCATTTTGAATTTTTAAAAACTAACACCGGATTCGTAATCAGCGACCCCAAAAACCCCCGAGTAGCCATTTTTGAGCGAATTGCATTAGATTTTCCAAAAGTCGTCCGCCATATTAGATCCGCCATTTTGAATTTTGAAAAACTAACATTGGATTCGTTATCAGCGACCCCGAAAACCTCCAAGTAACAAATTTCAGGCGAACCCGAACGATTTTAAAAATTGGTCATTTTTAATATTTATTTATACATATTTTTTTAAACAATAGAAATTTTTAGACATCATCTGGTCTAGAAATTTTGAAAGCTCTATTCCTCCTGAAGAAAATGCCTCAAAGCAGACTTAGAAATATTCATTTTGTTCAGAGTTATTGAGGTTTTTGTAGGTGGGACATATATGTCCCATGGGAACGAAAGGGTTATAACAGGAGGATAGAGCGCTCAATGACATTTTGTATTGACAAATGACAATATTCTCACATACAACTGCTTTTGCATAAAGAAACAAATCGTCAACTGTTTTTTGTCAAAAGACAAAAGATATGTTAATATTATTTCAGTATTGACTATAAAGTTAATGTCTAAAAATTTTGTATAATCTGCCCATATCAGGGCAATTCTTTTGAGCGTCTGTTTCTTCTTGTTAATTTTTTTTCTTGGTAGGTGTAGGGGGTTATTATTCTTTTGTTAATTCCTTAATTTATTTTGTTGGTTTGTATATTTTATGGCTTGCACCCCCCTATCCCAAACTTTATAAGCAAGAATTATCATATTACAGAATTTCATTTTTCATAATTTATTTTTTTCGAATGTTGTTAGAAGTTTATTGTATTTTATAATCATTTTGATTTGTTTTAACTATAAATTGAAGAAAAAAGTATTTAAGATAAGTATATTTCACTAGATAAATAATAATTAATAATTTTTACACCCATCTGCAACAGTTAAAACCTCACCATTTCGTATCGAAGCAGCAGTCGAAATATGCTCAAGAAATGATAGAAAATCTGCAAGAAGGTGAAGTAATAATTCAAATGGATTTTTCAGAGAATTATGCTTTTGTTGTATAAAATGCAGTACAAGCATTCCATTACAACAATAATCAATGTACACTGTTTAAAGTAGTATTTTATTACCGCAAAGGTGAAGAAATATGTCATGAAAGTTTGATTTTTCCATCAGACTGTTTGTCTCATGATACTGTGGCAGTGTATATCATAAAAAAATCCTTGAATACATTCAATCTGTGCGCCATGTGGAAAAAGTGTTTTATTGGACTGACGGTGCAAAACAGCACTTTAAAAATCGTTTCCAAGTGTGTAATTGATTAGATCAGGAAAAAGATTTTAAAATATAGAATGGCACTTTTACGCAACTGCAAACGGAAAGGAGGCCTGTGATGGTGTTGGTGCAGCTTTTAAACGAAAAGCAGTACGTGCAAATCTACAGGCTTCATCAACAAACGCGATATTAACACCTGACACCTTATACCATTTGGCTAAAAATGAATTTAACGTCAAAGTCTTCTTTTACTCAACAAAAGAGCAGGAAAAAAATGAAGAAATCCACTTAATAAAAGATTTTCTGAGGCTCCGCTAGTACCAAAAATTCAACAAAACCATGCTTTCGTACCATCACCAGAAGAAAAACTTTGAATAAAATTATATTCGTTAGCAGAAGAAGGGATATTGTTCCCTTCTGTTATAATAAATTAGTAGAATCTTTTGTACTTTTTATAAGTAATTATTATTTCTTTACAGTATTGACTATAAAATACGGTTGAAAAGAGTTGTACAATCTGCCCTTTTCAAGGAAACGCTTTTGAGAATCAATTTTTATAATAATTTAAATGTTCTTTACATGTTCGTTCTTTTGAGGTTATGTCTCCATGTCAACCGTCTTTTTGTTTGTAATTTTATGTTTTAAAATAACCTCTTTTGATAATGCGGTAAGATTTTTATTCTTTCTTTATAAGAATTTTTCCAATTTCAAACTAAAATTGTAATTTAACCAATGTTTTTTCTTGTAGTCCTGATGAGCCATGTTATATGGCGAAAATGCATTAGAGTAGGTTAAATAAAAACCTTTAACTCAATTTATTGTTCATCAATTTTTTTACGGACCAAAGGCCACAAATTCCTAACAGGATTATTGTTACAATTAAGGTCCTTGAAATCTACAATTAATAATAATTTAATAGAATCTTCCGTCAGTTTTTATAATAAATTAAAAGAATCTTCTGCATTTTCCATAAGTTAATATTACTTCTTTACAGCTTTGGCTAAAAACTAATGTCCAAATGTGTTGTGCAAATCGGACCTTTTCAGGGCAATGCTTTAAATCATCAATTTTTATAATAAATGAGTATAATCATTTTCAATTTTGAAAAACTAACACCGGATTCGTAATCAGTGACCTCAAAAATCCTCGAGTAGCTAGTTTTAGGCAGATTCAACAAACTTTTGCAAATATGTCCGCCATATTGGGTCCGCCATTTTGAATTTTGAAAAACTAACACCGGATTCGTAATCAGCGACACCAAAACCCCCCGAGTAACGAGTTTTATGCAGATTCAACAAATTTTTGCAAATTTGTCCGCCATATTAGGTCCGTCATTTTGAATTTTCAATTTTGAGCAAACGGCATTCGAAAGGTACATTTTCAACATAAAATTTCTACCCATAGAAAAATTTTTAAAATATAACTTATTCTGGGCAGCGGGATAGCCCGCTTGACGTGGAATGACCCAAAATTTTAAAAAAATTTTAAAGTTCAAATAACTTTTAACGCCAAAGTAGACCAAAAATTCATTATAATTCATAACAAGATTTAATTAAATTATTTAATTAAACTATATATTTCTGAATTCATAAATAACAAAAAGCTTTATCTAAGAATAGAAAAAAATAAAATGATAATAATCAATTGATAAAGAATTTGTTTACTTTAATAGATGGTTAACTTCGATAAATTGTATTCAATAATATATTACATCTTTCAAATAATGTAAAGTGTTATAAATACGATTTAAAATAAAATTCTCTACGTACTTTTGTTAATATGGTTTTTGGGATCGCTGAATACGAATTTGATTTTACATTTGCGAAATTTACGAAACACAAAATGTCAGACAAAAAATTGGAAACTTTAACAAATTGTCTTTAAAAAAAAAGGGGACTTGGGGATTTTCGATGTTGGTAAATAAGGATTTAATGTCAGATTTGCAATATTCAAAATGTCGGATAAAAAATTTGGAGTTTTAACAAATCGACATCAAATTTGTTAAATTTGTTTAAGTTTTCAATTTATTTGTTCGCCATATTCGATCCGCTATTTATAATTCATCAAATCTTTCAAATCAAAAAGTAGCTTTTCAGGTAAAAAAAAGTACCATGAAAAATACTATTTTTTCTAACACACGTAAACCGAAAGAATAACCATTTAATGAAAAATTTTTAAAATATTATTAATTTTTTCAATAATTACTTTCCTTCCCTGGTCGCCGGAAAAGACTTTCTTTCCAGCCACTAAACAGGTAGGAAATAATGTACTTTCGGTGCGTGTGTTAGAAAAAAATATGTATACAAATAAAAAATGGAAAATAAACTTACCGACTTTAATGGGACTCGTACCAACGTTTCCAGGAGATCCTGGTGGTGGACCGGGTGAGGAGCCAGTTTTTTTATATAATAAAGAATTAAAGAAATTTGCTAAGACTCCTTCACCTGATGGAGTATTTCCTGTTCCTTTGGGATCCAACTTTTTATTAGGAGAAGCCACCTGTATTTTTAATACCGAATATATGTAAGATCATGATTTTTTAAATTTAGGCCATTCCACAAAAAATAAAGCATGCTTTCGAATGATGATGAGGATGCTTTCATATTTAAAACATTCATCTTTTTTATTTTAATTCAAATTAATCAATTTTATTTAATTTTATTTTTTATCATTTTAATAATAGGTATACGATATTCTAGTTTCAACGTACGACAAGTTTATAATTCCATAAAAATTCTAACATAATTGTCATTTTAATAAAACACATTGATGAACACTGATAAATTATAGCAAAAATTAAATTAATTATGAAATTGATAATATCGATCACTCTGTATCTGATAAATTAGGTTAAATTTTCAAGAAAAATTACTTTAATAATTTTAACAATGGTAGATTTTCTATTCCTTTACTAAATGTTACAATTAACTAAAATCCTCCTCAAAAAGGATATAATCGATAATTAGATTTTATATTTTTTTGTAATAGATGCTAAAACTGGAACCCAGTTAATTTTAACCTGCTTAACAAATGCAGTTCTTGTTAGAATTTTTAGTTTCGATATTAATAAGCTCGAATTTCTATGTAACCGAATTTTTAAACTAGAATTTATATTGAATTAAATTTTCATACTTAAGAATTTTTATTTAACTGAATTCATATTTAAAGGAATTTTTATTCAGTCGAACTTTTATAAAACAGATTTTTTAGTTGACCGAATTTTTATTACTTATAATTTATATTTATCAGAATTCTCATTTGACAGAATTTTGACTCAGTGAAATTTTTAAATATTAGAATTTTTACTTGTACGAATCGTCATTTCATAGAAATTTTGAAAACGCCGAATTTTCAATTGACCGACATTGCAAAGGGCCAAACAAATATCTGACAAAAATTTTGACGGCAATTTTAAAATTAATTAATATTTGTTCGGAGATTTGCAATTTCGGTCAAATGAAAATTTGGTAATTAGATAATTATCTCAAATATTACTGGGACTTTTTATGCCTAAAGTTAAATAAGTAATATTCAATTACTTACAAAAAAATTGATCAGACTTTACCTAGGAAACTCAAAATTAATTATTTTGTTTAAAAAAACACAGCATTTTAACAATTAGAAGATACGCAGCACAACGCTTGGCAACGTTGCTTCTTGTAGGTTAGGTATAGAAAAAGCGCGAAATTTGAAAGTAGTATAAATACTATATATAATAGTATATTTATCAAAGATTCATAGTAATAAATAATAATTAATAAATATTACTTTAATAATAAATTTATTATTGAAAATTTTGAAAAATGATATTAATAAAATTAATTTAATAATGTTATAATTTTCTTACACATTTCAGGAAAATGTATAAAAAAATTATAATTTTTAGTAAAATATGTAATAAAAAATTAATTATTAATTTAAATTCTTTTTCATTTTAGTTTTAAATTGAATTAATTTTAATTGATTAAAATTGAAAAGTAAATTAAATTTTTTTTAATTCAATTTAAATATTTTACGAAATATACTATTTGTAATTTTATTAAATAAAATTGACAAAACCGTCTTTAAATTACAGTTATTTTTTATTATTATGATAATATCTGTTTATACTATTTTATAAAAATGCAATAAATATTTTTCTTCTTCTTCTAAATAATACATATAAAAGTCCAAATATGAAATAAATTTAAATATTTTGTTTTAACTAATTTACTACTAACGTTTCGATTTTTTAACACGCTAATAAAAATATTTTCTAATATAAGTTTAAAATTATAGTTCTTAATTGATTCCGTAAATTAATAATAAAAGAATAAATAAGATTCATAGGATAATGAAAGAAAAATATAATTCAAACTAAATTAAAATAGATTATAGACACTCTGTACATGACAATTTCCCTGAATATATAAAATGTATAAATCCAACGTTGCCAAGCGTTACGCTAGTACTACGTGAATGAAAAGAAAACTTAAATGGTGATTGTTTTGACTAGCGACGAAGGGAGAAATTCTGTTAAATTGAAATTATATAAAATAAAAATTCGTTAAAATAGAGAATCTGTTTTATAAAAGTTGAACTATATAAATATCCCTAAATATTAATTCAGTTAAATAAAAACTTATTAATATAAAAATTCAATTCAATATAAATTCTACTTTATAAAATTCGATAGCGTATATGTTTATAATTTTTTTAAAAATTCGAGTTTATTAATTTTGAAACCGTACAAATTCAAACAAATTCAGTATTTGTTCTTCATTTGTTTAAAAAATTAACTAGGCACGTACTTATTATTTGATACCAGATTTAATTTTAGCAGTATTTTAATTATCAAAAAAAAATTTAGTTTATTTTAAATTAATAATCGAAAATCAAATTTTTTTAAAGACTTTATATAGAACTCCTCAATTATCTTAAAAACTGGAAAGTTTAATAAAACTTTTAAAAATTATGAAATATTCGATTAAAAATGAGTTTTCTATTAATAATTTTATTATAAAATTAAATTTTTATTAAACTTGTATTTGTATATAGAAGTTATTTAAATAATTTTCTTGATTAAAAAAAACCTTCAAAATTCACGATAGATTATTAAACATTATAAAATATGAGCCATGTACCAATGAAATTAATCTTGCATAAGAACTTGCCATATTAGAAACATTAAGTATTTTACAAACATACAAAACACTGAATGAAAACATAAAATGAAGACACATTTCCAGTAGGAGAAAGAGATTTAATTAAAATTGTAATTAAGGTAACCAGACGTTTAAAAGGAGTTTAGTAACGATTAAGTGATCGTTAAATATATATCAAGCGGGCAAAAATGGAAGAATGGATACGTCATTAGCTTGTCGTATACGAGCACAACACAATTATTATTATTATTATAATTATTATTATTATTATAGCGCCAAATCAAAAACGATTATATATTCGTTAGGCACAAATGTCGAAAACATGCTTTAATTATAATGGATATGACCTGAACGATTGGTCCTATGCTTGCCTGGTTCCTCGTCGTTGGGGACCGAGTTGGATCTTTCATTCCGGATAAAGCTGCTTGTTGTCTTGCCAAGAACACTTGTTCATCTTCGGCTTGAACTTCTAATTCTCGCGTTACGCACTGAAAACATTTTTTTTTCTCATAAACATTTACATTTTTCAATTTTCTAAATTATTAATTCTGTAAGATTTAATAATTTAGAAAATAAAATTTAATAAACACTTTTAACTGAGCTTAACTGTCGTCATTTTTTTTTATTATTAATTAAATTTTTAATCATAATATATTTTTAGTTTCATAAATTTCATAATAGTTTTAGTTGGTTTTCATTAGAAGAAATATAGAAAAAGTCAAAATTTAAATTTTAATAATTTTTCACTTTTTGATTATTCGACGATAATCGTCGATAATCAAGAAATTTTATAAGACTGCGTTGTATGATGGTAAATAATTTGTGAAACCTATGATCTTTTTTCAAAAATTATTTAAAAGACTTTAAGTAAAATAGAAAAATTAATATTTTAACATGAAATTAATAATGAGCAGGACTTACAAATTATTTATTATCATTTAATAAATTTAATTTAATAAATATTTTATTTACATTAATTATTGTTATTAAATATTAAAAATAGAGTTTAATAATTCCTTAATAAAAATAATTTCATAGGAATCGAATTAATTTGAATTAATCGAGTTCTGTCAAAAAATACAAATTCTATCTAATCGAAATTCTGCGAAGTAAATATTCGGTTATATAAAAATTCTCTAATATAGAAAATGGAAATTCTGTCAAAAAATAATTTGACGGCAAAAATTCTATCTAATGAAATAAAATATCTAATTAATTAAATTAATGTTAATTAATGTTAATCTAAGAAATTAATTTTAGGAATTAATCATGCGTGTCTTAAAAAATTAATGTAAAAATAAGAAAGGTATTAAAAAATTTGTCATACTTTTCTATTTGTTGGTGGTTGTACGATTACATTTCGATAATAATCTTCTGGTTTCATAGATTGCATATTTTCATGAAGAATACTGATTTTCTTCATGTTATCCCAACCTGCAGGTCTGAAAAAAATATTTCAAATAAAATATCACAAATAAATTTAAAAATATGCTTCGATCTTTAATATACCATTTAATAATTATTATGAAAGCATTCATAATTATACAATACATGAAATTTATAAAAATTTATATAAATTATATAAAAAAAAATCATAAATAAATTTATAGTAAAATACCTATAACATGGGAGCGAAATTAATTCACAAGTAATGTAATTATAAATTATTTATTACTAGCAATATTAAACGCGCGCAAGCGCGCCAAATTGAGTATTTCGTTATTTGTTATAGAGAAATTAAAAATTAATATTATCAATAATTATTTAAATTTATTAGAATATTATTCCATATTAAATGATAAAAATAAAAATTATATGTTTATAGGCCTCAGATTATTAATTATCAAATTATTAAATTTTAAATTCAAAGTCTTTTAAAATTCAATTATTTTCCAAATTTTCAATTTAAAATCAAATGAAATTCAATTATTACCCAAAATTTCCATTCAAAATCAACTAAAATTCACTTATTTTCCAAATTTTCAATTTAAATTCAAATAAAATAAAATTATTTTCTAAAATTTCATTTCAAAATTAATTATCAAAAATCAACTAAAATTGAATTATTATTTAAAATTGTAATTGAAATTTAATTATTTTCCAAAATTTCAATTCAAAATCCAAGACAATTCAATTATTTTCCAAATTTTTAATTCAAAATCTTTTAAAATTCAATTATTTTCCAAATTTTCAATTTAAAATCACATAAAATTCAATTATTATCCGAAATTTTAATTTAAAATCAACTAAAATTCAAATATTTTCCATATTTATCTATTGAAAATTAACAAAAATTCAATTATTTTCCAAAATTTCAATTCCAAAATCAACTAAAATTCAATTATTTCCCAAAATTTTAATTCAAAATCAAAGAAAATTCAATTACTTTCCAAATTTTTAATTCAAAATCTTTTAAAATTCAATTATTTTCGTAGTTTTCAATTTAAAATGAAATAAAATTCTTCAATTATTTTCTAAAATTTCTATTCAAAATTAATTATCCAAATTTTCAATAAAAAATGAACTTAAATTAAATTATTATTCAAAATTTCAATTAAAATTCAATTATTTCCCAAAATTTCAATTCAAAATCAAAGAAAATTCAATTATTTTCAAAATTTTCAATCAAAATCAACTAAAATTCAATTATTTTCTAAATTTAAAATCAAATAAAATTTAATTATTTTCTAAAATTTCAATTCAAAATTAATTATTAAAATTTTCAATAAAAAATCAACTAAAAATGAATTATTATCCAAAATTTTAATTGAAATTTAATTATTTTCCGAAATTTCAAATCAAAATTAAAGAAAATTTAATTATTCTAAAAAATTTGAATTCAAAATTAATTGAATTTTCAATAATTTGAATTTAAAAGCATTTAAAATTTAATTATTTCTAAAATTTTCCATCGAAAATTTTTTGAAATTTAATAATTTCAATTATAACTCTAAGGGAATTCAATTATTTTTAAATATTTTTATAATATTCTTTGAAAATTCAACTATCTGAAACCATTTTTCAATTAAAAATGATTATCAAATTATTGTATTTTGTCTGTAATTTCTAATAAATTTTTTAGTGAAATCATATAAAATTTTAATTAAAATCACTTGAAGTTCAATTAATTTCCAAAATCTCAATTTTAAATCTTTTGAAAATTCAATTAAATTTAAAAAATGTTTTCCAAAAAATTTTTTGATAAATTATTTTTAGTTCTGTAAAATTTTATTATTGTTTGAAAATTAACAATATCTTTTGAAATTTAATTATTTCTAAAATTTTCAAGTTTAATTTGACACAAATTTGACACGTCATAAGATTACTATTCAAAAAACACGTGAAATCATAAAAGACCAACTTCAAGTTAGGACAGAAGGACAGACCAAGCATTTTATTATTATATAATATACAAATAACTTTTGTTCAGAATTTATAAAAGGCACGAAACCCTAGATGTAGGCGCTTTGTAACACAGAAAATTAAAAGGCATTAAAAAAAGCAAAATTGGATTAAAATAATAAGCGTTGCAGCTTATTTTAATACCTAATAATTTTCTGTGAAAGTGTTAACATTGGTTCCTGAAAGGCTCCAGTTATTTTCAGATATGACGATAAAATTTTAGCAAAAAACAAACGCAGATACATAAGAGTTTAAATATTTTAACATTCAAATTTATTTTCATTAGAATATAATAAAATTGCGGATTGCAAAATCACAATATCAAATTCAAAAATCAGCCATGGTGTGTGAATAATTTGACAGAGTCGTAATTTTTATATTTACTTCAAATTATACATTTCATATTCACGTTAAACATAAATTAACAATTAAATTATTAATATTGTTTAAAAAACACTCAATTACAGAAAATTCTTTAGTTTATGAAAACAATTTACATTAGATCTAATTATAATCTGACTTTAAAGCCAATTCAATGGCATGTAAACTTGCAAATCATTAGAACGCAATGTACGAATATAATGCGCAAAATAATATTGATACAATGCATTGTAGCTTAAGTCAATATTGTATTCCGAATTGAATTTATCAATTCTTTTAATATCTGCAGAAGTTATTTTATTACTCAAGTCATTACTTGTAAGTAAACCCTCATTTGTAACGACAAAAGTATTATGAAATATATCATTATATTTCTTTGAATTTAACATTAGACGAAATGGTTCTGCATGATAAAAATGAATTTTATCATTGACCATCAATTTATGTTTTACATTTATAAGCGGTTCATTATTTTCCTGAGTGCCATTTATTTTGTATTCAAAAATGGAAGAACCATTTCGTTCTAAACTTATTGAAAAATATAATTCACCTTTAAAATACACATGAGCATCTTTTAACAATTGTTCTAAGCCTATTGTCATAGTCTCGTAATTTATAATTATTTGCAAGAATTTCCAATATGCTAAACCTAAAACATCAAATGAATATTTTAAATTTTCTATTTTCTTTGAAATTTTGTCCAAACCAACATTTGTAAAAAGAAAAATATTATTCTGCGCTATTGAATTATTATAACCTTCCAAATTGAACTTTAGACGTTTAGGTTCGCGATGGTAAATGTGTAGTTCATCATTAACTTCAAACTTGAGTACATCATTTGTGAGCAATTGTTGATTTTGCGATTTATTAGGAAATTTATATTTCATAACAGTAGAGCCATTTCGTTTTAAGTTTAACGAAAAATATTCATTCTCATCATAGATTGCATTACTTAATTGTTTTAAAGATAATTTCATGTCCTTGTAATTTATAAATATTTGTAAAAATACCTTATTATCCAAACCTTGAGCATCAAATCTATAATGAATCAAGGGAAAATATGTTTTGCCTTTTTGAATTTCTCTTACTTCAACATTAATAAACGTAGTCTGTGAAATGGTATGATACGTTACGTCACTGATATACGTATTACCAAGAATTTCTTCTACCACGTAAACAGAATAAACATCTGACAATAATTTGACATTCACCTGTTTTCCAACAATAGTGTGACAATCGTTATTCAAATATAGACAAGAATTTGTGAGATCAATTGTCGATTCAATGGTAAACGTGACGTTAAAATATGTTTTCATCATTTTTGTCATCAACATTAAAGGGGAAATTTTTCTTAAATCTCGTTCATAGCTCATAGTTGGCAAATTTTTAGGATTTATACCAAAATCAATGGCAGGCATTACAGGATGTCCATTCAATACTCGTAGTTCCAATTCGGGACTTAATGAAATATCTTTGATGACTTTTTTTAAAAACGGCAATAAATTTATATCGTAAAGGTCAAGAAATAGTTCAAGAATAGTTGGAATTAATTCAACAGAATCGTCAGTTGTAATTTGATTGTACGGAATATGGCGAATACGAAATTCACGTAAATTCGTATCAGTTCCATCATATCCGAAGAGACTGATAAATAAATTTAACTTTTCCTCGTATCCCCATTCTGTAAAATAGATTCCCTTTTGATAATTTGAAATTTCCTCATACTTGTAAGGAGATGCTGATTGTAACATTGGATTTTTCATTACAAATTTTTGTTGATATAAAGTGGCAAACATATCATTCCACAACTTGAATGTTTCTCCAAAATCAACAGCATTTTCTTTTCTGTTGTAGTATTCAGCAAACTTTTCCAATAAAATCCAACTAGATCCTTTTTGGGGTTGTAAAAATCTGTCTAGATTATTAACAGCAGATATAAAATGAAGGTTCATATTCGTTTCCGGACAAGTATGTGTATTTAGATTTAAAGTGTATTTGTCACATTTTTCTGAACGTATAAATAATGATGATCGATCAATTAATTTCAATGATGGTACAATATTTTTACTGCTGTAGGGACTGAAACCAGTTAAATAATCATAATACTCTATTATATCAACCTGATTTTCCAAACCAAGATATAGACTATACTTTAACGACTTTAAAGTATCAATATCATTTACTGATAATAACATTTGTGTGTAATAATTTTCAACGAATCCATAAATTTGTACATTTTTGTAAAATTCAGACTCAAATTCTTGTGATTCGAAAAGTGATGCATCATTAGAATCAAAAATTGGCAATGATAACCAGTTTTTGGTTTCAATAATCATTCGTACTGGAACATTATTTGAAACAGATATCATAGGCACGCAATCAAAATTTGCTGTTAATGTTTTGGTGAAATTTCCCTTCCCCGTAAGATCCAATATGTTTAATGTTTCATATGGAGAATCAGCAAGACAGTAAAAATACAAATTTTGTATTTGAGAAGAGGTTTCTACCGTTAAATTGAATGTTGTACCTCGTTTAATTATTATTTCAAAATGAGTTTTATAATGAGAGAATTGGTTTTGAATTGTATGACTCGTCCATGGTTCCGAAAATTCTCGAACTAAAGGCACGGCAATTCGTGTAGTCATCTAAAAGATGAATTTATAGTTATACGTAAAATGCATATTCTGATGCAGAAGATTTATCTTTTAATTAATATTTTAAAAACTTACGTTCAAATTCCATTGCAGTGTATTTTGTGATATTGTACTCGACACAAATATTAGAAGCAATTTTATGAATATTAATGAAATCATGATTTACTACTTCGTTAGTAGTTACTACCCCTTTTAACAACTTCGATCAAAAGTAGTTAACTTTTACTTCTTATATATTCCTTACTGTTTACATATATTATGTGAAAATCGACAGAAGTCGATGATGACGTAAATCGATATCTGGACTAAAATTTAGAATATTTTTTATTCATTAGTCAACAAGAATATAGATGTTACTACGTCTATTTGCGCGTTCCATAATAAATTAGAATAAATTAAAAATCTTATTTTTTATATAAAATTTTAGACAGGGAAATAGCAATTTCTATTTTTTACTGTTTATAGAGGTATTTCAAAAATAAACAAAAATTTAAAATCTATGACGTCAATCGATGACGAAAATATTAAATAAATAGAATGTTTTTTATTAAAAAGTCAACAAGAATATAGATGTTACTTCCAATATATGTGTCATTTACAATAAATTAGAATAAATAAAAAATGCTATAAAATCTAAGACATTGGAATGATCGTAACTAAAAGTTGATAGAGAAATGTGTAAAACATTTCAATTTTGTAAAATTAATTAATCTGTAAACGAAATAACATCGAAAATGTTAATATTAACTATTTTAAATTTATTGCTTCATTTCTATGTTTCTAACGCAGACCTGCCAGTAAAGTGGAACGAAGTGGTATGTTGAAGTATTTAATTAAATTTTAATTGAATAAGTTAAATTATTATCATAGTAACTTTGCATTTGATGTTTTTTCAATTAAAATGTATAGATGAATATAAATTTTTTTCTATACAGAAGAAACATATTTTTATATTTATAATTATTTTTTTAAAATAAGTGCGATTCGATGAGAAATTTACCACTACTTTAACTCTTTGAAGACAAGTGTTGCTTTCAGGCAACATGGACATTTTTTTGGTTATTTTAAGCATAAGTTCCATGATTTTTAAAACTAAATATTAAACCAATGTTTTCCATTTAGTCAAATAAATTTCCAATTCTAAACTTTGGTTTTGAGACAAAAACCTTAATTAGTTTCGCTGAAATATGTAGCCTAATTTTGTATGGCGATAATCCCCTCAAAGGAAAACCAATCATATTTAGCCGTAAAGACTGATTTTTTACTAGTGAAAATATATGAATAAAATTTGTAAAAATCTTAACAGAATTCATAAAGAAATTTGGTAAAAATTTGGTTAAATTCTATAGAAGGACCAAGCTAAAATTTATGTAGAATAATTCTATACAATGTGATAAATTTCTCTTGGAATCGCATATATGTTTTACTTATAAACTTTAGAATTGAAAATTAAGAAATGTGTAATAATTTCTAAATATAATTTAGGAAACTGAAAGGATTGTGAAGCCAAGTGTTAGGAAATTTCAAAATGCATGGAAAAACAACATGTACCATGGACTAGTTTTTCACTACAAAAAACACTTTGGAATAATAATTAGGAAAGATACGACATTTACACTAACTATAGAATCTTCACAAAAAATTGAAAATTTTAAATTTGTCTGTCCTTTTGAAAACTCAGATAAATTTATCGAAATAAATTTTGCTGATACCCAAAATAGTACAAGAAATTTAACAACAAATCTTGACTGCGTTCCATTATTAACAGTATCATACAATGTACCAGTGGTGGTTAAAATTAAAACTAAAAATTGGTCAGTTTTACCTGTTTTTGATTCTAGAAATTTAACTTTTCTTACCTCACACAAAGCTGAACAAGAATTTTACAAAAATATTCAAACTTATGGTTTTGTTGAAAATCATCAAACACAAATGATACTGTCAGCAAACGATGTTAAAGAAATCTTATCAGAGAAGTTGAGTTTATTTGTTGGATTACAAAATCAAGCGGATATAATAAAATACTACAATTATCTAACAGGTGCCAGTCGATATGTAGATAAAAATGATTCATTAACATATTATTTAGTAGACAAGCAACGACATTTCTTCCGCACAGAAAAAGATGACTATGTGAGCGGATATTATAAAGGTAATTGGATAACACTTTCTGGTGGAGTAGACGAAGTTTTACAACAAAACCGAGCTCAAGAATGGATTGAATTACATGAAATTGCGCATTATTATGACATACAAGATCATTCGCTTGGTTTCGGACCAAATACTGAAATATGGACAAATATTTTTGCTTGCTTCTACAATAGTAAATTTCACACCAACAAACAGACAGAACCAGTTAAAAATGAACTTGCAGAATTCTATCAAAAGAGTAAATCTTATGAAAACTGGAGTTATGCAAAAAGACTAGAATTTTTAGTGACTTTATTTGCCTTCGATGGTACTGATAAATCTTTTAGGGAATTTAACATTCGTTACTATTCCAAGGAAAATAAGTTGAACGTAATTACATTAATTTTAGAAGTATTTCTCGATCTTTACAATATAAATTTATTGCCATTTTTGAAAAAAGTTCTCAATTTTAAAATCGATATGCCGTTAATAAGCCCTGATATAGAATTGCGACTTTTAACTGGTCATCCTGTAATGCCTGCCATTGATTTTAATATAAAGCCAACAGAGTTAAAAGCCCGGAGTAGAGAAAACGATTGGCGACCATCCTTATGTTTAATGTTGTTGCGAAAAATGAAGAAAAAATTGGTCGATGTTACTTTTACCATAGAATCACCAGTTGATCTCACGAATTGTTGTCTTTATTTGAATAACGATTGTCACACTATTGTTGGAAAACAAATGAATATTAAATTACAGGCCGACGTTTATTCTATTTTTATAGCCGATGAAAAAAATGGTAAAATTTACATTAGTAAAATAGACTATCACACTATTTCAAAAGAAACAAAAATTCATTTGATAGTAAATGAAATACCACAAAATGAAGTATTTTTACCTTTATTAAATTATCATTTTTCTGCCCTCGGTCTTGGTTATGAGAATTTCTTAAACATACTTATAAACTATAAACATATGACAATAGGCTTAGAACAATTGTTAAAAGATGCTCATGTGTATTTTAAAGGCGAATTATATTTTTCAATAAGTTTAGAACGAAATGGTTCTTCCATTTTTGAATACAAAATAAATGGCACTCAGGAAAATAATGAACCGCTTATAAATGTAAAACATAAATTGATGGTCAATGATAAAATTCATTTTTATCATGCAGAACCATTTCGTCTAATGTTTAATTCAAAGAAATATAATGATATATTTCATAATACTTTTATCGTTTCAAATGTCGGTTTAAAAAATGTGGAAAACAATGAATTTCAATTTATTTCTTCGGATATTAAAAGAATTGATGAATTTTATTCAAAACACATAGTGGACTTGAGCAATAATGCATTGTACAAATTTTATTTTACACATTATATTCGCAACTTGCGTTTTAATGGCTTGGAAAAATACATTCCAAATTCTTGGGTTTAATGGAAGACCCAAAATTTGTAACAGGGGGAAAATGCTTATTAGAAGCAACGTTCGTAGATCATGTTAAACGAATCTTTTTTTTAATTATAATTTTTCGCTACTTTTAGGATTTTAGAACTACGTTCAGATAGAAAAAATTTATCTTTAGATATATTGTTATATGATGTAATAGAGTAATAATAATAATGCTATTAAGAATAATAATAATTATTATTATTAACTTTCTTCTTGTATGTTGTTTACGAAATATAAACTGTGAGTAACAATTCTTCTTAATTTACTTATTAATTTTAACATAATTATTCGCATTTTAAAGAAAGAGACCTAGGATGCAAAAAATCGTAGCTTATGTTTATGAAATTTGGAGATTTAATAAAATCCATTGAAATTTAAGTCTGCATTATATCGAAAATATTCAACAAAAACTGAATTGTATTTCATATTATTAAAAAGGAAGTTTTAATCAAGATAAAATAATAATAAACATAATCAAAAATTTTTGCCTCTTTGGTTTCTTTCTTCAGAGTGCGTCACATATGTTTCAACTTTTACTTATTGTTTTCATTATTTTCTTAAAGTTAAAATCATTTATTTCATTTCAATATGTATTAATTTTTGATGAAAATTTATAAAAATAACGTCTAAACTTCAACCCACTCTACTTTCTACAAATTTTCTTTTAATAAGTTAATATTTTAGGGATTTATTACTTTTATATAGGACGTTAACAATTTATTAAAATATCAAGCCAATTCCAGAACTTTCACTTTTTTGGGCTAGGGCGTATGAAGAAAAATCCCTCTATAGCGTAAAATTTAAAAATTGATTCGATTTCTTCAAAATTCGTTACTCGGGGGTTTTACACTGAGAGAAATAGTCTTTTTAATTTAAAACTAATTTCCTTTTAGATCAAGTCATTTTATGGTAAGAAGAATTAATTTTAACATAAAAGGAATCTTTTGAATAAGAAAAGATTAGTAGTTTTTTGATAAAACGAAAAAAGTTTTAATAATAAAGGATTTCTTTTGTTTTTCAACGAAATCTTTTTATGTGAAAAGGACAATTGTTTTCTGTCACTTGACGTAAGAAAGTTGACATTTGTTTATTTTAAAAAATTAATAGAATTCGGGATGAAAAAATACATCACTTTTGATATTATTATAAATAATGACTGACGATGATTTTAAAAGTTTTAATATTTTATTGATTAAATTTGAATAGGGTGACTGCCCCAGTGAATGAACAAATAGTGATTTTCGCAACTTTGTCTAGTTGTTATTTTTAAACGGTAGTTCAATGACAGCTAAAAAATGTAGTACTGTATTCTAGAATACTCTAATTTTTTAATAACATTTTTCCATTTTTAAATAAAATAACCAGAACTTAATAATTAATAAAAATATAAAAAATTGATGAAAACACCAGTGAATGAACATGGTGTATCAGTGAATGAACACTCGTTATTCTTAGATCATTTGATACTTCAAATATTTTGAAAATTTAAAAAGATTTATTCTTTATTACCTTTTAAACAAAGAAGTGACATCAAATATAATCTTTAAAATATTTTCGATACTTATAGGTCAGATAGTGGCCATTTTTAATGTTAAAGTAAAACTTTTGGGGTTAATAAAACAGCGTAAATGAAATATATATATTTAAATGTAATTCGTAAATGTATTTCAAACTAAATGTAATTATCATTATTAATAATTATTATTATAATTATATTATATTATAATTATAAAATGTAAATGTAATTATACAAAGATTCTTTGAAAAGAATTCTTTATATCCTTTGTTTTGAAAAGATATTCTTTTAAAATTTAACATTAAATATTATTGTTAAAGAAATATCGACTAGCATCAGAAATACAGATTCTTTCAGATGACTGCACTTTAGTTGTTTATATTAGTAATATGTAATAGAAATTAATATTATTTAAACAAACAACTTTAACCCTTTGCGGCATAGTGACACTCCTGAGTGTCACCTTTTTTCTTGCACTTTTTTGAATACTTTAGCCACTATTTTACACATTTCAGTAACAAAATGTATTTAAAATGTATTTTAGAATATCTATTACAATATAACTACATTAAAAAAGTGTTTTTTATAAATAAAATAAATGTTATAAACAAATTAAGTTTAAAAATAGCGTTTTTTTTACAATAAATGTAATCGTGACTAAACAACAATAGGAAATAACCTAACAATAATGTCTATAAAGTTTTCGGGGTCGCTGATTACGAATCTGGCATCAGATTTTCAAAATTCAAAATGGCGGATCCAATATGGCGGATGACAGAATGAAAAATTGATCGGATTTGCTTAAAACTTGTTATTCGGGGGTTTTTGAAGTCGCTGTTTATGAAAATGACTTTGGATCAATTTTAACAAAATTGTCCGCTATATTGGATCCGCCATTTTGAATTTTGAAAAACTGACATCGGATTCGTAATCAGCGACCCCGAAAACCCCTGAGTAACCAGTTTCGAGCGGATATGATCAATTTAAAAAAAATTGTCCGCCATATTGGATCCGCCATTTTGAATTTTGAAAATTTTTAAAATCTGGCTTCGGATTCGTAATCAGCGACCCTTAAAACCCCCTATAATGCACTTCAAAGATAAATTCCTGTTAAAGAAAAATGTATGCTTCAAAGGCTTAAATAAATAACAAGTAAACTTAATGAGTTTTAAGAATTACAATTTACAATGTATAGTATTAAAAATTTATAAGAATAAATGACGAAAATATTTTCTTATGAAATAGAGCAAGTAAGCCAAACTTTTTCACTTGTTCTACTGCACTTTGTAATTGTTCGTTCAAATAATGAAATCTTTCGTATTTTCTTTTTTTAGGTGGCATTACTACAAATATTTAATGCAGATGTTTATTTAAAACACTTGTTTATATTTTCCTAACCTTCAACCCTGGCGGATCTCGAAATCGGAATGTACGCTGAAATCGTTGTACATTCGTTACACATTGGTTAAACATTTAGTTGGAGTGAAAATTGTGTAGAAACTGAGTGGAAACTGTGGAAAACTGTAATTGAATTGAATAATAAAAGTATTTAGTGATAGATTTGTGCTGTATTTGTGATAAATTAACGTGTTATTATTAAATAAATAAAGTTTAAAGTGTAAAATGTTCGCGTAAGTGAGTTTCACAGGCTAGGGAATTTTCTAGTGACATCCAAATTGATAGTCGATAAAGAAGTTGAGCCGCCGACTTTGCACGGTAGGTGGCAGCATTCATACTTTCTCCTTTTTAAAAATTCTCTTTTTCAATTGTAAATAGAAAAATTAATTAATTAATAAGTTATATAGTTTCTATGTTGTCATTTTTTATAACCATTGAATTTTTGAAGATTGTTTAATAAGATAAATTAAACTTGTATAATCGATAAAAATTGTTGTTTTTAAAATAGTTTTAAATAAATCTTTTCTTTTAATTACATTTATATTAAAAATAAATAATAATAAAATAAAGAAAGATAAAAAAAGTTTTCTTTATTAAAATTATGATTAAATTAATTTAATTGAATTTAATTAAAAAACAACAATTTGCATCGATTATACAAGTTTAATTTATCTCATTAAACAATCTTCAAAAATTCAATTCTTAAAAAAATGACAACATAGAAACTATATAACTTATTAATTAATTAATTTTTCTATTTACAATTGAAAAAGAGAATTGTTAAAAAGGAGAAAGTATGAATGCTGCCACCTACCGTGCAAAGTCAGCGGCTCAACTTCTTTATCGACTATCAAGTTGGATGTCACTAGAAAATTCCCTAGCCTGTCAAACTCACTTACGCGAACATTTTACACTTTAAACTTTATTTATTTAATAATAACACGTTAATTTATCACAAATACAGCACAAATCTATCACTAAATACTTTTATTATTCAATTCAATTACACTTTTCCACAGTTTCCACTTAGTTTCTACACAATTTTCACTCCAACTAAATGTTTAACAAATGTGTAACGAATGTACAACGAATTCAGCGTACATTCCGATTTCGAGATCCGCCAGGGAATTTGCTTTAAATTATTCTGACAGTTCTTTTCGACATTAGCGCCTCCTAGCTGAATTGATTTAAAGTGAGTTTTCATTCACTGGATCATAAGATAAAAACTGTTTTAACCAGTGAATGAACAGTGGCTATTTACTGAATCATTGAAAATAATGTACCAGTGTTTGAACAGTTTAAAACTTTCAGTAATACACTAAAGCGTCAAGCGAGAACACGTCAGTCGAAAACAGAGCTTGGGAACACTTGAGGGGAAGTGAGGAAACGGGTAGAATTTAGGTTATGACTGACGCCAGTGTCGTACTTGTGATTTTTAAATTTAAGGTGTATTCAGTGCCTTTCTAGTGACAATCCCCTAAATAAAATTCACATTGTTGCGTAAGGCACTTCATATGGCCCTGAGTGTTTTTATTTTAAAGCGATAAAAATCGCGTCAATCGAGAACAGCACTACACATTCTTCTGTTCTCGATTGACGTTTTAGTGTATGTGTACGTCCGCATGAAAAGGGACCAAATTGTCGATTTTATTTTAGGAGATAATCGCAATTTTCTAAAAGTGGTTCAGATTTTTTATTGTTTTTTTATTGTTGAAAATCAAACTACAAAGTGTTCCACGTTAAATTATGCTTTCACGATGACTTCGTTGTAATTAAAACAACTAATATTCTCATTTTTAATTTTTATTTAACATGGAAAATAATGGCGGATTTGAACTTCAAACTCGTTTTTCTCTATTTTTATATATGAGTGTCAAAATCAACAAAGTTTGCATCATCAAAAACGAAAATCGATTAAGGCAATAGATTTTTTATTATCATTTAATAAATAAAAATATACATGTTACTTTATTAAGTTTATGAAAAAAGATTAATAATTATTTGAACAAAGATATCTGGAATTTAATAAATTAGCATAAAAAATATTTTATATATGTATGTTTGATTATAAATTTTTTAGATCTACAATTCAGAAAAAATTTTAATTTTTTTTTTTATAGAAAACTGATTTTTCAACTACTTTTTTGAAAATATGTGAACTATACATGAAATATGTCGGTAAAGTTCACAACGTTTAATGATCAACAATTTAGGAATAAAATATCTTTCTTTGTAAATTATTATAATTTTTTGCAACGTTTCTCGATGAACAATTTTTAAAAGTAAAATTTATAAGAAAAAAATTAATTAGGTATTATTTCCCGAATGAAAAATATATATTTTTTCAATCGTTGATCATAAATGTTGTGAGCTTCATCGATGAAATGAAATTTGTAAAATTTTTACTAGAATTTATAAAGAAATTTTTGTAGAATCATGCTAGTGAAACTTTATAGAATATCCAGGCTAAAATTCATATGGAATGATTCAATAGATACGACAAATTTTTTTTAAAGAAGAACATATATTTTATTTAGAAATTTTATAATTGAAAATTAACTTTAGGAGGAGTAACTGGAGTGTCTAGACACCCCATCAACATTCAAATGTTCGACAAATTTAAGAATTTTATTTTTTTTTCGTTTTTGCAAGTTTTTTTTTATTTTATCAAAAAATCAATAAGACCATAATAAATTAGAATAAATTAAAAATCTTATTTTTTATATAAAATTTTAGACAGTGAAATAACAATTTCTATTTTTAACTGTTTATAGAGGTGTTTCAAAAATAAACAGAAATTTAAAATCCTTGACATCAATCGATAACGAAAATATTAAATAAATAGAATATTTTTTATTAAAAAGTCAACAAGAATATAGCTGTTACTTCCAATATATGCGACATTTATAATAATATAGAATAAATAAAAAGTGCTATAAAATCTAAGACATTGGAATGATCGTAACTAAAAGTTGACAGAGAAATGTGTAAAACATTTCAATTTTTTAAAATTAATTAATCTGTAAACGATATAACATCGAAAATGTTAATATTAACCATTTTAAATTTATTGCTTCATTTCTATGTTTCTAATGCAGACCTGCCAGTAAAGTGGAACGAAGTGGTATGTTGAAGTATTTAATTAAATTTTAATTGAATAAGTTAAATTATTATCATAGTAACTTTGCAATTGATGTTTTTTCAATTAAAATGTATGGATGAATATAAATTTTTTTCTATACAGAAGAAAAATATTTTTATATTAATAATTATTTTTTTAATATAAGTGCGATTCCATGAGAAATTTACCACTACTTTAACTCTTTGAAGACAAGTGTTGCTTTCAGGCAACATGGACATTTTTTTGGTTATTTTAAGCTTAAGTTCCTTGATTTTTAAAAATAAATATTTGACCAATGTTTTCCATTTAGTCAAATAAATTTCCAATTCTAAACTTTGGTTCTGAGACAAAAACCTTAATTAGTTTCGCTGAAAAACTTGTTTAAAAATCAAAAATCTTGATTTTTTAGAAAATAATTTGGTCTTGAAAGAGTTAATTATTCCATACAAAATAATTTAAATAAAATTTCTTTTAAACTTATATTAGTATCCGTTGAAACACGTGTCCTGTACAACACATAAACATCGTACAACATAATTTGAATTATGTTTGGTTTCACGGAATTTAAAAAAAAAATTTTTATTATAATTTTTATTATTTTTTTATTTAAAATTATTAAATGAGAGTTGCAATCCATTTTGTATGTAAAATTTAATAAAAAATGTAAATTTAATTTCAGTATTTAAATCTGATGAGGCCTGACGTTGACGGGCGGAAGCTCATTTAATAAGAATTTTAAAAATAAAATGTGGATTTTTACCAAAAACAAATAACATCTTGACTAAAATTATTTATCTTAATTCAGAAAATTTTTTATAAAATATTTAACAATATTTTTTCACTAAAGACCTATTTTTCTCTTGGGTCAGTAACAAATTGTGCTGTAAATTAGGATAAATTTAAAGTAATTTTCAATTTTTTGACCTGCCTATACAACACCTGTAAAATTAGGCCGCGGCAAATATGTAGCCTAATTTTGTATGGCGATAATCCCCTCAAAGAAAAACCAATCATATTTAGCCGTAAAGACTGATTTTTTACTAGTGAAAATATATGAATAAAATTTGTAAAATTCTTAACAGAATTCATAAAGAAATTTGGTACAAAATCATTCTAGTTAAATTCTATAGAAGGACCAAGCTAAAATTTATGTAGAATAATTCTATACAATGTGATAAATTTCTCTTGGAATCGCATATATGTTTTACTTATAAACTTTAGAATTGAAAATTAAAAAATGTGTAATAATTTCTAAATATGATTTAGGAAACTGAAAGGATTGTGAAGCCAAGTGTTAGGAAATTTCAAAATTCATGGAAAAACAACATGTACCATGGACTAGTTTTTCACTACAAAAAACACTTTGGAATAATAATTAGAAAAGATACGACATTTACACTAACTATAGAATCTTCACAAAAAATTGAAAATTTAAAATTTGTCTGTCCATTTGAAAGCTCAGATAAATTTCTCGAAATAAATTTTGCTGATACCCAAAATAGTACAAGAAATTTAACAACAAATCTTGACTGCGTTCCATTATTAACAGTATCATACAATGTACCAGTGGTGGTTAAAATTAAAACTAAAAATTGGTCAGTTTTACCTGTTTTTGATTCTAGAAATTTAACTTTTCTTACCTCACACAAAGCTGAACAAGAATTTTACAAAAATATTCAAACTTATGGTTTTGTTGAAAATCATCAAACACAAATGATACTGTCAGCAAACGATGTTAAAGAAATCTTATCAGAGAAGTTGAGTTTATTTGTTGGATTACAAAATCAAGCGGATATAATAAAATACTACAATTATCTAACAGGTGCCAGTCGATATGTAGATAAAAATGATTCATTAACATATTATTTAGTAGACAAGCAACGACATTTCTTCCGCACAGAAAAAGATGACTATGTGAGCGGATATTATAAAGGTAATTGGATAACACTTTCTGGTGGAGTAGACGAAGTTTTACAACAAAACCGAGCTCAAGAATGGATTGAATTACATGAAATTGCGCATTATTATGACATAGAACATCATTCGCTTGGTTTAGGACAAAATATGGAAATATGGACAAATATTTTTTGTTTTCTCTACGAAAGTAAATTTTACTCCAACAAACAGAGAGAACCAAATAAAAATGAACTTGCAGAATTCTATCAAAACAGTAAATCTTTTGAAAAGTGGAGTTATGCAAAAAAACTACAATTTTTAATGACATTATTTGCCTTCGATGGTACTGATAAATCTTTCAGGGAATTTAACATTCGTTACTATTCCAAGGAAAATAAGTTGAACGTAATTACATTAATTTTAGAAGTATTTCTCGATCTTTACAATATAAATGTATTGCCATTTTTGAAAAAAGTTCTCAATTTTAAAATCGATATTCCTTTCATAAGCCCTGATATAGAATTTCGACTTTTAACTGGTCATCCTGTAATGCCTGCCATTGATTTTAATATAAAGCCAACAGAGTTAAAAGCCCGGAGTAGAGAAAACGATTGGCGTCCATCCTTATCTTTAATGTTGTTGCGAAAAATGAAGAAAAAATTGGTCGATGTTACTTTTACCATAGAATCACCAGTTGATCTCACAAAGTGTTGTCTTTATTTGAATAACGTTTGTCGCGATATTGTAGGAAATCTTATGAATATTAAATTACAGGCCGACGTTTATTCTATTTTTATAGCCGATGAAAAAAATGGTAAAATTTACATTAGTAAAATAGACTATTACACTATTTCAAAAGAAACAAAAATTCATTTGATAGTAAATGAAATACCACAAAATGAAGTATTTTTTCCTTTAGTAAATTATAAATTTTCTGCCCTTGGTCTTGGTGATGAGAATTTCTTAAACATACTTATAAACTATAAACATATGACAATAGGCTTAGAAGAATTGTTAAAAAATGTTCATGTGTATTTTGAAGGCAAATTATATTTTTTAGTAAGTTTAGAACGAAATGGTTCTTCCATTTTTGAATACAAAATAAATGGCACTCAGGAAAATAATGAACCGCTTATAAATGTAAGACATAAATTGATAGTTAATGACAAAATTCATATTTATCATGCAGAACCAGGTCGTTTTAGGCTTCATTCGAAGAAATATAATGATTTAATTCATAATACTTTTATCGTTACAGATGTCGGTTTAAAAAATGTGGAAAACAATGAATTACAATTTATTTCTTCGGATATTAAAAGAATTGATGAATTTTATTCAAAACACATAGTGGACTTGAGCAATAATGCATTGTATAAAATTTATTTTGCACATTATATACGCAAATTGCGTTTTAATGGCTTGGAAAAATACATTCCAAATTCTTGGGTTTAGTGAAAGACCCAAAATTTGTAACAGGGGGAAAATGTTTATTAGAAGCAACGTTCGTAGATCATGTTAAAGGAATCTTTTTTTTAATTATAATTTTTCGATACTTTTAGGATTTTAGAACTGCGTTCAGATTGAAAAAATTTATCTGTAGATATATTGTTATATGATGTAATAGAGTAATAATAATAATGCTATTAAGAATAATAATTATTATTATTATTAACTTTCTTCTTGTATGTTGTTTACGAAATATAAATTGTGAGTAACAATTCTTCTTAATTTACTTATTAATTTTAACATAATTATTCGCATTTTAAAGAAAGGGACCTACAATGCAAAAAATCGTAACTTATGTTTATGAAGTTTGGAGATTTCATAAAATCCATTGAAATTTAAGTCTGCATTATGTCGAAAATATTCAATAAAAACTGAATTGTATTTCATATTATTAAAAAGGAAGTTTTAATCAAGATAAAATAATAATAAACATAATCAAAAATTTTTTGCCTCTTAGGTTTCTTTCTTCAGAGTGCGTCACATATGTTTCAACTTTTACTTATTGTTTTCATTATTTTCTTAAAGTTAAAATCATTTATTTCATTTCAATATGTATTAATTTTTGATGAAAATTTATAAAAATAACGTCCAAACTTCAACCCAATCTACTTTCTACAAATTTTCTTTTAATAAGTTAATATTTTAGGAATTTATTACTTTTATATAGGACATTAACAATTTACTAAAATATCAAGCCAATTCCAGAACTTTCACTTTTTGGGCTAGGGCGTATGAAGAAAAATCCCTCTATAGCGGAAAATTTAAAAATTGATTCGATTTCTTCAAAATTCGTTACTCGGGGGTTTTACACTGAGAGAAATAGTCTTTTTAATTTAAAACTAATTTCCTTTTAGATCAAGTCATTTTATGGTAAGAAGAATTAATTTTAATATAAAAGGAATCTTTTGAATAAGAAAAGGTTAGTAGTTTATTGATAAAACGAAAAAAGTTTTAATAATAAAGGATTTCTTTTGTTTTTCAAACGAAATCTTTTTATGTGAAAAGGACAATTGTTTTCTGTCACTTGACGTAAGAAAGTTGACATTTGTTTATTTAAAAAAATTAATAGAATTCGGGATGAAAAAAATACATCACTTTTGATATATTATAAATAATGACTGACGATGATTTTAAAAGTTTTAATATTTTATTGATTAAATTTGAATAGTGTAATGATAATTTTTAACATTTGTTAAGTAATGATTATTTACATATATGTGTACGTCCGTATGAAAAGGGATCAATTTGTCGATTTTATTTTAGGAGATAATCGCAATTTTCTAAAAGTAGTTCAGATTTTTTATTCTTTTTTTATTGTTGAAAATCAAACTACAAAGTGTTCTACGTTAAATTATGCTTTCACGATGACTTCGTTGTAATTAAAACAACTAATATTCTCATTTTTAATTGTTAATTAACATGGGAAATAATGGCAGATTTGAACTTGAAACTCGTTTTTCTCTAAATTACGTTTTTGGCACTTCTAACTTATGTTAAACGGATTCCTCTTATGTTCAATAGACTGTTTTCTCAGTGTAGGGGTCTATGAATCTAAATTTTGAATTTGTTAAATCTGACCTCAAATTTCGATTCAGTAACCC